TGCTCACGTTTCCTCACTTTGCTTTCCCTCCTTCCCTTCGTTGATTTTGTCATCTGTCATCCATCTCTGAATTGTCTATCTTTATTTCCTTACTGAGTGTCTGTGCTGCCGCTAGAATGTAAGCCATCCCCCAGTGGCAGGGAGCCTGGTGAACCCCGTGCCTTCTGCATGGCTCTTCAGTACATGCATGTGAGTGAATTCCGCGTGTGGTCCTCAGTGACACCTTGATTCAAGCTGCTATTGAATCAACAGCACAGTTGTTTCAATACTACAAGGCAAACAGTAGATTTAGGTTGAGACAACTCTGTAATTTCCTGTTCTGGCCGTTGTAATTAAGAGTCCTCCTCAAGCTCAACATTGAGTGATCAACGGGGTGTACTGAAGCCAGGATCCAGATCTTTCTACTCTGATCATGGGGTTCAGAGTCTCACTTTCTAAGGAAATTAATATTCTATTTTGACCTAAAGGTGAATAGTTATTAGTGATTTAATACAGTCTCCCCTTCAGATCACATTTCAACTTTAATGACAATTTTTAGTAAGATAATATAAATATGACAATGGGGGGGGCAGTGGCTCGTATCTGTAATTTGGAAGGCCGAGGCAGGTGGGTCACCTGAGGTCAGTAGTTCAAGACTAGCCTGAACAACATGGAGAAACACTGTATCTACTAAAAACACAGAATTAGCCAGGTGTGGTAGCACATGCCTGTAATCCCAGCTACTGGGAGGCTGAGACAGGAGAATCACTTGGACCTGGGAGTGGAGGTTGAGGTGAGTGAAGATCACACCATTGCACTCCAGCCTGGGTAAAAAGAGCAAAACTCTGTCTCAAAAAAAAAAAAAAAAAGAAGAAGAAGAAGATGACAATGAACTGTAGAATTTGAGGCATTGTAGCTGAGAAAATTAGGGAGCCATTGCTGGACAGGAGCACGTGTTCTCGGGTTTCTGTGCTGCCTCCCACCAGCTGCTCCATGCTACTCCCAAGACCAATATTATAAGCACTTGGATGAGACACTCAATTTCCTTTGTGTTTAGTATTGCTAACCTGGAACATTTAAATATTATATAGATCGATCTGATTCGTCAATGATGTGCAAAGTATAACCACCTAAGCATTGTGTAAGCCCCCAAGTTTCCCTGAATGGAAAAGGCAGCTGCTGTTCAACTCTACAATATAAAACACACCACCCAATGCTTGGACCATTTCTGAACAGCTACGATAAGAGAGTTTCTACAGCAGGGCTGGGTATCTGTCCATATTCTTCATAGAAATAAAGAAGTGATATATTTATTCTCCTCAAGAAAGCCTATTTTGGCGGGGCACAGTGGCTCACACTTGTAATCCCAGCAGTTTTGAAGGCTGAGGTAGGTGGATCACTTGAGGCCAGCAGTTCAGGACCAACTGGCCATCATGGTGAAAGCCTATCTCTACTAAAAATAAAAAAAAAAATTAATTGGTGATGGTGGCAGGCACCTGTAATCCCAGATACTCGAGAGGCTGAAGCAGGAGACTCACTTGACCAGAAAGCAGAGGTTTCAGTGAGCTGAGATTGTTCCATTGCACCCCAACCTGGGCGACAGAGTGAGACTCAGTCTCAGAAAAAAAAAAAAAAAAAAAAAAGAAGAGGGAAAGCTTATCTTTGGATTCCTCCCCAGGGTTAGGCATAGGCATCTGCAAGACTGAGCAAGATGGCAGAGTCTGGCTCAGCCAGAGCAGCGAGAAAAACATCAGGGTTCCATGACTCACCAGCTGCCCAAGCCACCACACCCCCAGGTGCATGGAGCACAATGAGAGAAAACCCAGCATAAGAAGAGTCTGCCTTCATTTCATTTGCTAATGAAAAGTTTACAAACTGTGCTTTTGTTTGTATTTTTGTGCCCTTTTTCCAATGACAATGTTAGCAAAACATGAACATATTTTAAGCAAAAGACTGATGAAACAAAGAAAAGCAAAGTGCAGAACATTCAAAACTGCTTTGACTGCATTTCATCTTGAGGGGAGTCGATGATTTCAGGTGCTACACAGCTCATCTAGGACAAGCCTTGGGATGCCGTCCACTCACTCCTCCCCATAATCTGCTGAGAGGACACTCAAGAAGAAAGGGAGGAAGCAGGCAAGGAACTGTGCTGAGCAGACTCTCATTTCAAACTGTTGCCACTTATTCAAACTCACAAATTTGTATTAATAAATGATAAAAATACGTTACTTCTTTGATACAGAATATTCAACATTGCACACCAGTTACAAATAGTGTGTAGAAAAAGCTCTGTTTGGAAACTGCCATGACAGTCGTCTAAGTCTACTGATGTTTTCTGGCATCGCTAGTGGTAACCGCAGTGCTGAACTTTGAACCACCTGAAAAAGGGCAATGTTCAATAAAGCTTCCTTTTTGTTCCAGTGTCAGTGCCCAGCAGTTTAAAACAACTATGTGTATTTATGTGGACACATAATCAGGAAACCAGCTAGGTACATGAATACCTTTTACTCTAAGGCATTGCTGATCCGTACCCACATATAAGTGAAAAAGACTACTGTTATTTTCTTTGCTCTATCAATCATTTTTTTCATTATTATGTAATTACATTTTTTCATTAAAATGTAATTTTTTCAATTACATTTTTTAAAGTGTCATTATTTCATGAACAGTCTGATTTTTCTCAAAGTCACTCATTAAATTGGGGTAATTCAGGTTTAGGCAAGATATTCTTTAGTTTTACTTTTTATATAGTTTTTAGAGACAGGGTCTTGCTCTGTCACTCAGGCTGGAGTGCAGTGGTGCAATCATGGTTCACTGCAGCCTTAAACCCTTGGGTACAAGTGATCCTCCCACCTTGGCCTCCCAAAGCACTGGGATTAAAGACGTGAGTCACCACCCCTGGCTGAAGAAAGAACTTGTCACATCTTACACATGCTCAAGACATGGAGCTGAGGCATGAATCTAAATGGAAGGGAAGGAGGATTAACTCACTTCTTTAGGAGTCTGATGCCACCCCGTTCCTCTGTTCTTCATGCCCGTTTCTGATATCTACTTCTAGAATTTGCTCCAACTGAATTCTTCTCTTTTCCTGTGCCACCACCGAAGATGCAAACAGTTCTAAAAGATCTTGGTGGTTTTAGTGGAAACCACTTTGTTTTTATATTTTTCACCTATGATATGAATGATGAGTCTGCACCATTTTGATCTTAAATAAATCCGCCCCAGGCTGCATCCATCCTGTTCTGACAGTAGAAACTTTTACGTAAAGCCTTCATATATAAAATTAATGGGACATCTGAAAATAAGGAATTGGGTATATGAAAAGATCCTTTAAAAAACTGTTCTCATCTTTAACATTATCTTTTTTTTTTTTTTTTTAACTAAGTGCAATACAGTGAACAGAAAAACAGCAGCATTTTTAGAGCGACCATCGGGGAAAATGCTTAGATCAGGGGACCTGATCAGAGTCTACATTCAGAAGGTGCATCTGGTGGCCAGCAAAGGCTTCCAAATGTGCATCTGGGACTTATTTGAAAACAAGTCACTACAGTACTGAGAACTTTATTGAGTGGCAAACACTCCACTTACAGTCAAACAATAAAAATTCAATTGTACAATATACACAGAGATGACCAAGAAAAACATGATTTAAAATTATAAAAACTAAAATCATATGAAGTAAAATAAAACTATCTGAAAACAAATAACTGTAAAAATAAATATCTAAGTAACCCAATGACCTACTCTCACAGTAAAATAGTTACAAAAATAGAATACAATATTAACCAAGACTTGAATAATTCAAAATGAAATGGTTAAAAAAAATATGGTATCAATGAGAAACCCATTTCTCTCCCCTCCACATTCTTCTCACTGATGATTTTCTTCTTGAAAAGATACTTTTTGATAGTAAGCCCTTCAAGAATCAGCTGGGTAAAAAATGTTCTTTGGGTTATTTCTCAGAAGGTTCTGTGGGTGTCATGAACAAGTTCAGAATCAGGAACCTGGTAACCCCGTCAACATTCTCATTCCAGCCACCCTCAGGCTGTCCCTGGTTTTAAAATATGCTCTTCATAGAAAAGAGTGAATTGGTGTCAGATTTGGGTTGATTATGTCATATGTGGAGGTGTGAGTCGGATCAAAGGGCAGGGGAGAGGCCCTGCCTCAGATGCCTGTGTTCCGTGTAAACCAGTTTTCTGTTCTTTTTGGAAGCTGGGAACAAGAGAACTATGAAGTACATTCTAAATAGTGCTGCAAAAGTGAAATGTATTCATCTGACCAAAGGAAACTCAAGATTCTTCTTCCAACTCTCCAGAAACTGTCCAGTTACAATAAGAGGTTTTACTGATCAGTATTTAAACTCTAATTTATCTTTTAATGGGTACTTCCACATGCCTACAACCCAAATGGAGAATGGCATTAATAGCATGACCTTGTAGTCCTCAAGTTATTTTAAAAGTGCTCTCTGATTTGTCAAATGAGATACACAGTAGTACAGTCTGGGATTTAAATGTAGTTTATAGTGCAGTAATGCTCTGGCAGGTGGGGTCAGTGTGCGTGAGCCTGTGTGTTTACTCTTTTTTGGCCACAAAATTGAAACAGAATATAACTTTTCATGGTTACTTTGATTTAAATGATGCTAATCAGCCCAGATGGTCAAAAGGAGCACATAAACATGGCATTCATGCTTGGTTTTCATTTTCCTTGATTTAAAAAGAATCAACTTAGATATTGTTAAAATGCATCACAGTACCTTTTTGTCAGCAAGTCAGTAAAAAAGATTGCCAAATGCTGTAGGGTTTCCAGCTGCCCTCTGGAAGCAATGCTAATTTCACCTCAGACGAGGAAAATGCTTCTTAGAGATTCAGCTATTACAGTTCAGCTAAATTTCAAAATCAGTGTTCCCATATTCTCTGCTGTATTTGAAACCTTCTGAGAGCACGTAAGCTTTATCAATGGGGTGCTGTATTCCTGGGAAAACAGCAATTACGTGGTCACCTAGGCATACTGGCAAAATGGCCCTGGGATCCCAAGTCACCCATGAAATGCTTCAAGAAGTCTTCATCATCTGGAAGGTTTGCTTCCTGAGGAGTTAAAGAAAAAACAGTGAATCAGCTCCAGTCCAGACAAAAGTTAGCATAATAAAAACTAAACATTATACAGATCTGGTCCCTGCAGTTTTTGTTTTTTGATATTCTCTGCATTTTGAAACATCTTTTGCATTAAATTTTGCAAAGAAGTCAGTAACTTTATTAAACACAGCTATCATCCCATTTCTCTGGCAGAACAAATTCCATCTCCCTTCAGGCTTTTTTCTGGGCTTTAAAAATTTCTCTTTGCCTCCACCTACTCATGGAGCAGTAAAGAAAACTTCTTTAAATGTTGGTAAGGCCAGCACTAACTACTACAGAGCTGGACAACAAAATAGGCAGGCAGTCAAACTGATATCTGAAGGCAATCAGACTCCTCCCTTTTCAAACATCAATAAAGGCCCAGGTGTGGGTCACACAACAGGAAAGAGTGGCCTTATGGCTGCTCAAGCCACTTCTTTACCTAAAATGTGCTCCTACTTGCATAGCTTTCCAGAATAGTCAAAGAAGAAAGGAGTAGAAAGGCTGAGAAGTCCTGAGTTCATTTGTTCTCTATTCCCACTACATCTTTGCAAATATGAGACACAACTCTGTTCCAGGAGCTTTCAGTAGACTTCTACAGGTACTTCCTTTTTCTTTGTGTCAAGGATAAATGTGAAGATAGCTGTGGAATGTCTGAACATTTTTGCCCCTTGAAATTAAGCAATGTTTTATCCCTAAGTTCCCAAAGGACAAGTTATTTATGCCAGTATTAAAAGCAGCAACTTACATATTCTATGCAAACTAGAAAGATCTAAATTTTGGCAAGTTCCGTTTGATGAACTGGAAGACAGGAAGATGACTAAATAACAGCAGATAAAAGAGCAATTTTCATAAATTAAACTCTGGGAAATAGAAGACCAAAATTACCCATATACAACCAACTATTACTCATGGGTTCCCCAGAGGACTTGTGTGCAGATTATATGAGTCATTCCCCAATTCTGATAGTCTCAGTTTTGAAAGCAATTATCTTCACCCCACAGGGCAAGAAACTTAAGAACTTAGTTAGTTCTATTATAATGGAGACATTTTTATTATAATTTATAAATCTCTATCTACCAAGGGGACAAAAACCACTGTATGAAATATATTTGTTTTCTCTTTCACTTAGAAAACCTACCTTTGTTCATCTCAAGTTTCTGAATCTTTCATGTAAACCTAAAATGAATCCTTATAAATTTCAGCAGAAAAAGCACAGCTTAATTTCCTGCTTCTACATTTTCCAGAAGCTGGTCTCAGAACAAGGGACTTCTGCCAGAAGTCAGAAGACCGCCCCACTGACCAGGTGTGACCCTCTCTCCTGGCTCTTCCTGCTGGTGTCCTCCAGGGAACACCAGCGCTGGGAGGCGGGTAGCTGTGCAGGGGCTGAGGTCATGGGCAGACCGTGTTCCAGGGATCTGGAGAAAGCCCAGGCTACTGTGTTCTTCTCATACCCCCGGCCCCCGACAGCCAGGCAGTAGGTCTCTGCATTGCAGTTTCAAAGAAATAATACTGGTTTGGGTCTAGGGGAGTACATTAGTGAAGGAGATCTTCACAGTGCTGGTGACTGCAGATTCCATATAAAAACTGGGGTAGCTTCTGTGCGATTATCCTCCTGCTCTGAGAAATAATGTAAAACTTCTCAGAAGACAGGTGCCGTTGTCTCCAGCCTGAAACAAATGGATTCAAGTGGAGGAAGATGAGGAGAGGAGGAAGCCCAGGAGCCTCTTTTTCCTGCCTCCACCCTTAGTGCCTTCCCAAACCTGCTATAACTTTCCCTTTTCTTTCAACTATTTCTCTTTGTCATAAAAGTGGAAGTTCTCACAGGCTAACTAAACTTCTTATATTTTTCATAGGTTCAAGCCTAAAAGGTCTTTAGGATTTAGTCTATGAAGTCAACTAAATTCTCACTCGGATGACTATTTTGATATTGGCTAACTGGAGATGGGAACCAGCCTGGGTCTGGAGGGATCAGAGCCAGCTGCTTTTATTTTTATGTTGTCAGGTTACATTTTGGTTTTATTTGTATGCCATGTTATTATCTCACCACGATACCAGCAAGTCTACCCACTGGCTGCACATGTTCTGGTGACCTGGAGGGAGCTTATTCATAAATTTGCTTTTCGTGTATTTCAATAGACAACTTTTTTTTTCCCATTTCTGGGTTTCGATTATGCAACACGAATTATCACTAGACAGACCAGAAAATGTAGAGGTTGAAAACCATCTGCCTACCTCCCTTCTTTTTTGGACAAAGAAAGCCTGGTCTATAGTGCAGGAATCACTTGCTAACATAAGATGGGCCCTTAATTCTGGTTTAGGGCACTGTCTACCAGGCTGTGTCCCTCCAGTGACCATGGCCACCCTCCAGAGCTCCTGTTCTACATATGGTGCCATCATTAAAATACCCTTGCCAGCATTCATTAAACCCAGATCCAAAAGACAGTTTGTGAAACTACAAATTCATGGTTGGTTTGTTTGTTTTTTTACAACTTTGCCTATATACATTTGTTGGGGACTTAGCCTAGTGGAAAACACAAGTCTTCCATAAATTATAAGGAAAGACTTCAGTGTTGAGACTTCTGAGTTCAAGAACAAGACTGAATTAACCAAATTTTTACGTCTATACCAAAGTCATAGCCAGAGAAGTTACTGGATATTTTTTCAGTTGTCAAACAGAGGTGAGTCCTGGGCAAACATCTCCTGGGCAGCCTCCCCCACAGGCTGCCATGCACCTTTAGTTGGTTTATCACAATGGCAGACAATAATTTCATTTCATGATTTTAAAAATTTATTGATAGCAAGTTGTCATTGTAGGATAAGAGAAAAAAAGGTGTTGCAATGTTTAAATTCCTGGTTATCAAAGAGAGCCCTGAAAAGGTACTTTCTCTTCACTACTTTGTAAAATGTCCATAGGGAAGAGCAATAGGGAAGAGCAGGCTAACAGTGAGAACCAGCACTCCTTAGCTCCCCAGTGAAAAGCTAAAGAAGCCCGAAGTCAATCCAGCACTACTGGTTGTCCAAAAGGAACTTCCTTTAGTATCATCAGAGGCCAATAAACTATAGACTGTTGTTACAATCTCGTCCAATTTGCCTAGTTTAAAAAACTGAAACTCTCAAAACAATTTAAATAAAATTTAGCCAAACAAAGATCTTTGTTGCTAAGTGAAAGTGCTGACAAGATCCCGTGGAGAAGTTCTCACCACTTCAGCGCAGGCCTCCAGGAAGCACAGGGAGCCTTCCTTTCTGTTCCAGTGAGACAGCCGCGCCTACCTAGGGCTGCAGGTGGACGGATCAGCTCCAATCAAACGTCAGAACCGCCCACAGCGCAGGTCAACGCACTCAGGAATAGGGCTCTCAAGCCGTTTCCAGAGCAGGTAATAATACCAGGGGCGCAAAACTGCGTTCTGGCAGCATTTTGGATTTCTCCTGTTTTTACAATAATAAGCCAAGTGGGACTCGTTAATTTGCAGAATTGCCTTTCCGGGCGGTCAGACGCAGCAGACTCCGAAGGGCCTGGATCTGCAGGTACCTGGACTGGTACCTTCTGCTCTTCGGCACCCGGGGCTCAGCTCACAACCCTCCGCGTCTGCGTCTTGGGTCTCTTTCACACTGCAGCTCCAAATCGCACTCAATTCTAAGCATCAGCTGTGACCCGCCATCGCCCAGCGGGGTCCCAATCACCGAGGCTCGCCCCCCGGCACACGGCCAGCCCCGCCCCCAGCCTCCCGGGCACACACCTTGGGCCCCGCTCCGCTCCGGCGCAGGCGGTCACGCCGGCCCCTGCAGCCCCTGGCCGGGGGTCTCCTTGGCCTTCCTGCAGGTGTACAGCCACTTGATGATGCGGGCGTTCCTCTCGACCACCGAGGTGGTGCTGGGCACCTGCTCCATCAGCTCCTCCTCCTGCAGCCCGTCGTCGCCGCCGCCGCTGTGCCGGGAGAAGCCGCTGCCGGAGGTGGCGACGCTCACGCTGCGCACCTTGAGGGTCACGCGGTCCGACCCCGCCGTGAAGTTCTCCCTGCCCAGGGCCTCCACCACCTCGGGGTCCAGGCCGCAGTACGCGAAGAAGGTGTCGGACTCCAGGGCGGCGGAGTAGCGCGAGCTGAGGTCCGACTGCGAGCGCTGCAGCCCCCGCCGCCTCACCACGCGCGGCTCTGGGCCAGGGGGCGCGGCCGGGGCCGGGGAGGGCGCAGCGGGGCCGGAGCGCGCGGAGGGGGCTGGGGGCGCGGGGGCCGCTGCGGGACCAGGCTCGGTCGGGACGGCCTCCAGGTTCCCGGCCTTGCCCCCGTCGCCCGTTCGGGGAGTCTCGGGGGGCAGCGGCGCCTTGTCCTTGCCCGGCCCCTGGAAGAGCTTCTTCACCAGGCTCGCCCTGCGGCCGTCGGCGCCCGGTCCTCGCACGAACTCGCATTTCTGGCGGTAGATGATCAGCGAGTCGGGCCTCAGCGGCTTCCGCGCAATAGCCCTGCGCGCCACCGGGGCGGGGGCGCGGGCCGGGGGCCCAGGGTCGGTCCCCGGGCACTTGACCGCTCCGGGGCCGCTGCCCTCGGAAGCTGTGCCCCGGCCCGCCCCCGGGCCCCGCACGTACTTGGCGCGATCGGCCGCCAGCCTCTCCACTGCGGTCCTGCGCGCTGGCCGCGCGGCGTCGGGGTCGCGGGGAGCCTCGGGGTCCCGGGGAAGTAGCCGCTCGCCCAGGGGCGCGTCCAGGGCCGCCAGGGCGCGCATCCTCGCGGGAAACGGACCGGCCGGGGCTCCGGGTCCAGCGGAGACGCGCTCGCGGGTTCCGAAGTCCGCACCGGGTGGGGAACTGCGACCGGGTGCCCAGCTGCCCAGGCTCGGGGCTGGGGACAACCGGAGTCCGCACCGATTGGCGAATCTCCCCAGCTCCCGCCCCTCCCGACCTCAGCGCCCCCCCGACTGGCACCGCCCCCGCCCCGCCCCGCCGTCCCCGCCCCCTGACTCCCGCCCGGCCCCGCCCCTCGCAGCGTTCCGGGTGCCAGCGCCCGCCCTCACCTCTGGTCCCGGGTCCCCGCCCTCACCTCCCGCGCGGTGCGTCCCCGCCCCCCTCACCTTCTGGCCGCGCGGCCGACCGCCCGCGGGACGCTGGGGCGAGCAGGCTCCGAACTCCGCACTCGCTCAGCTCCAGGCGTCAGCCTGGGAGTCCCCGAGGTCGCCGCCGGACGCCGGCGTTTCCGGGGAGGGGGAGCCGAGGGACGTCCCCGCAACTCCCCGGGGCAGGTGCCTCACATCCTTTGAATTCTTAAAGTGACCTCATCGTGTTTGGAAACTTGACCGTTTAATTGTCTCCACCTGAGCTCAGATTCTTACGGCGAGGAGGAGAACGTAAGAGGAAGGAAAACGCGGCGCACGCGGGCATCGGCCTCCGCGCGGGGGCGGGAGCGCGGGGTCTGGGGTCGGGTCCCGCTCCGTCGCCGGCCATGCCCGAGGACCCGCCGGCCTCGCGGGAGGGCAGTCTGGGGGCCCAGGCGCGGCTCCGTGGATTTGGAAGAAGTTCAGCCAAGTGCCCGGAATCTTTGCTATTTTTACTGTAACCGAGGCAACCGGAAAGCCACGAGTTCACCAGGCGGTGGATCCACCTAGGAATGCTGAAAGTCTAAGATAAAATATTTCCAAAATTCCATTATTTCCTAAAGTTGGACAAAGTACTAAAGACACCTCTCAGACGTGAAATGCTCACGTGATCGCGCCTGTGAAGACGCCTCAGAACAGGCTGCGCTTTCAGCCTTGTGGTTGAACTCCCCGAGCAGCGCCGCCTGGGAGGCGGGGGGCGCGGCAGGTGTCCGTGGGCGCCCGAAGTGGGCGCGAACGCCTCGGCAGCGAGGAGGGGGCCGCGGCAGGTGGGGCCCAGTGGGCCTTGGGGTTCTCTAATCTCCTGGAGCCCCAGCGAAGCAAAATCCCATAGGGATAAACGCACAACAGGAAATTGCCTTCAGAAAACCGGACCGCCCAGACGGCCTGGTTGGAACAGGTTAGACTCAGGAAAAGGACTCAGGGTCAGTGAAGAAAAGAGTGGCAGAAGAGAGGGAAGGATGCGGGGGTGGGGAGGGAAAGAGAGAGAGACAGAAAGGGGGAGCTCCAGACGGTTTCCTACCCGATGCCCTTGAGACCCAAGTCCTGCCTGCTCTCTGCTCTGCAAGCCTGTTCTCTATGTCAGAGGAAAAAACCTTTTCAATCGTTCAGCCCAAAGTGTCTTCTTTTCCTAATTCGCCCTACTTGACGGGCAGCAGCGGCAGCACTTCTGAGAGAGAAATGTCAAGTACAGCACCTCTGCAATTTGAGTCCGGGTCCACAATTTACCTTGGACAGGTAACCAAAGTCTCGGCTTCTTTGTTTTGTCACCTGTAAAAATTCCTGTTTTAAATTTACAAGAAAAAAACACCCCATTAAAAAGTGGGCAAAGGAGGCCGCGCGCGTAGTGGCTCACGCCTGTGATCCCAGCACTTCAGGAGGCCAAGGCGGGTGGATCACCTGAGGTCAGGAGTTCAAGACCAACCAGCCTGACCAACATAGAGAAACCCCATCTCTACTAAAAACAAAAAATTAACCAGGCATGGTGGCGCATGCCTGTAATCCCAGCGACTCCGGAGGCTGAGGCAGGAGAATTTCTTGAACCCGGGATGCGGAGGTTGTGGTGAGCCTAGATCATGCCATTGCACTCCAGCCTGGGCAACAAGAATGAAACTACATCTCAAAATAATAATAATAATAATAAATATAAAAAAATGGTCAAAGGATACGAACAGACACTGCTCATGGATCATTAGAGAGACACAAATCAAATCCAATGAAATGCCATCTCACTCCAGTCAGAATGGCTGTTATTAAAAAGTCAAGAAACAACAGCTGCTAGCAAGGCTGCAGACAAATAGGACGGCTTTTACACTGTTGATGGGAATGTAAATCAGTTCAGCCACTGTGGAAGACAGTGTGGCAATTCCTCAAAGACCTAGCACCAGAAATATCATTTGACCCAGAATACCATTGCAATGTACATCCCCAAAGGAATATAAATCATTGCCTTATAAAGATACATGCACACATATGTTCATTGTAGCACTATCCAAAATAGCAAAGATGTGGAATCAACCCAAAGGCCCATTATAGACTGGATAAAGAAAATGTGGTACATATACACCATGGAATACTATGCATCCATGAAAAATAATGAGATGACATATTTTGCAGGGACATGGATGGAGCTGGAAGCCATTATCGTCAGCAAACTAACACAGGAACAGAAAACCACACACTGCATGTTCTCACTTATAAGTGGGAGATGAACAATAAGAACACATGGACACAGGGAGGGGAACAACAAACACTAGGGCCTGGTGGGAAGTGGGGAGACACGAGGGGAGGGAGAGCATCAGGAAAAATAGGTGATGCATGCTAGGCTTAACACTGAGGCGATGGGTTGATAGGTACAGCAAACCACCAGGACATACGTTTACCTGTGTAACAAACCTGCACATCCTGCACATGTACCGCGAACTTAAAATCAAATAAGCATCTATAAACTGATAACATCAATCACATACAGAAATTCTACCTCTTTACAGCTCTTCCCTGCTCCCATTTATCTTATTGGTGTCAAAAAATTATATCATTATATATGGGATACTCATTAACATAGATTTGTACTCTTTTACTCTAAAAAGCGGAGTTTTAACCCTCCCCCCCAAAAATCAGCCCCATACTAGGGGAAGGCTCAGGAGAGTTCAGCTGATGTGGCATCTAAGGAGGAAAGGTGATCAAACATGGCAACCACTGCAGAGAGATGAGGATGAGTAGCTCATCTCTGGAGCCTCTGCCATGGTGAATATCCCATGGTGTGGTTTCTTTTGAGGGATGGGTATAGAAGCTGGTTTATGCTGAGTTAATTAGAGAATAGGAGGTAAAGTACTGAAATGTTATAAAAGTAGGGACATTTTTCAAGGATTTGATGGTGGAAAAATATGTCAGCACAATAGCCTGAAAAGGTGGCCACAGAGAGAAGCTACTTTGGTTGGTGAGCGCTGCACATGTTGTAAATAAAAGGAGAGAAGCTGTGCTGAACGTGCACATGGAAGAGGAGATGGCTGATTGGTTAAAGTCCTTCTGGAGGAGGAGGAGGATGATATTTAGATGCTGAAAGAGGACTATCAATTCCAGAGAAAAAATAGCACAACAGAGTTCGGATGTTCTCTGAAAAAAAAAAAAACAAACCTTAAATAATCCTGTTTCTTATCACCACACATGCCGTCTGGGTTAGTTTGAACAGAACCCATAAGAAAAAATTCAAAGTACGGTATTTAGAATGAAAAAAAGGGTACTGAGATCTGGCTTTTGTTAAGCTATAACTGACCCTCCAGAAAATATGCTGCTAAAAGTAAGATTAAACTACCTTTTGCAGCATAAAGGTAAACCAAGTTGTTTTCTAAATGCAGTAAAATCTATTAAGAAAAAAGAACTCAGCCGGGCGCGGTGGCTCAAGCCTGTAATCCCAGCACTTTGGGAGGCCGAGGCGGGTAGATCACGAGATCAAGAGATCGAGACCATCCTGGTCAACATGGTGAAACCCCGTCTCTACTAAAAATACAAAAAATTAGCTGGGCATGGTGGCGCGTGCCTGTAATCCCAGCTACTCAGGAGGCTGAGGCAGGAGAATTGCCTGAACCCAGGAGGCGGAGGTTGCGGTGAGCCGAGATCGTGCCATTGCACTCCAGCCTGGGTAACAAGAGCGAAACTCCATCTCAAAAAAAAAAAAAAAAAAAAAAAAAAAGAAAAAAGAACTCTCAAAATAGGTAAAATCCAACCATTGAAAGCTCACTAGTTTATGTTACAGGAAGCCCACAGGAAAAAATCACACCGGCATTTGTAAGAAACACCCATAATGGTCCAAAGCCAAAGAATGGACTCCAGGACACAGAGAAAAGCAGAAGCGAGACTTTAATGGCAGTTTTGCGAGAATGGGCGTTTGGCATGGAGGCACAGGCCGAACGGTTTTAACAAGCCATTTATTTCCTAGTGTGCAAGTCCCTCCCAGTCCCTCGTTGGCTGAGTTCTGTGGGTTTACGATCTTCGTGGACCTACGTATTGGTAGTTGTGTTAAGGGTTCAAGTATGTTTTTTAGGGTCTTTCTGCTGCATTTTATTGCAGCCCATAATGCATTGTGACTGCCTCAGGATGTTTTTGGACATTTGACCTATGGCCCTAGTGGCTGCACTTAGCTGATAAAAAAGAGTACAGTTATCTATGCTGCAAGCCAGCCTAAACTAAATTCTTTGGTGGGGTGAGAGGGGGTGGTTAAATGGGCCCTGACTGATAGGTGCCTGGCTACGGGGTGAAAGGGAAAGAAGGGGCTGGTGACAGTAAATTCTGCTTCTTTACTTCTTTGTAGCCTGTTTAAACCTTTATTACAGCACTTAGAATTGAAAATGGACTACCACTTAGGGGTTATTTTCTACAGTATTCAATCTTATCATCTTTATTTGGTCACAATAACTCTGGGTAAGGATTTTAGGGAAATGTTTTACAGGTGAAACATCAAATTTCCATAGGGCATTCTTGTCTTTTATATTAATTCTTTTCCTATTTATTAAGAATAAACCTTGAATATAAAATGCTCATGCATCATTTACTAAGTTTCCCCCCTAATCTCTCAGGTGAAGTTGACATTAGTGGTGATATGAGCCGTTCAAGTGTCTAAAGAAATAGGCTCATTGGCCGGGCACGGTGGCTCATGCCTGTAATCCCAGCACTTTGGGAGGCTGAGGAGGGCGGATCACGAGG